TGTCACATTAAAATCATGGCTGGTTGTTGCATGAAAAGAGCTGGGGTGTTTTCCCAGTGTTGTGGATGCCCCTCGCTCCCTTAGAAAGGATCACTGCAATTCCGGGCACACTCACTCTGAGGTCTGACACCTTTCCACAGTGTTTTGCTAGACATCTCCACTGCCCGAGTGCTCTGATGTCACCTTGTTTCGGTTATTTTCATCTGGTTTACCCTGTGCTTCGTGTTTGTGGCGTTGACCTTAACCACCGTCAGAACTTGTAACTCCAGCAGCCGGGCTGAGTCACTGCCTAAACTAAATGCAAAGAAGAATGCACTTTAAAACCTCCTGCTTACGACGAGTGATTTATCTCTAGGAATTCCCCAAGAACTGTATTTTGCTTGTAGAATACCATGAAATGTTTTACACAAATAGGCTGTATAGAAATGCAAAATTATACTATCCTTCCAAACACGTTTTCTGTCTGTGTCATTTCCTTCCCTTTAGGACACCTTTGGTTAACACTTTACCTAACAGAGTCCTACCTGACTGTTCTCTGGATAAGTAGACAGCGCTGGGTCACTTGCAGAAGTTAAAAGGGGAACCTCTTTTTTTTTGCCTTTCATTATTACTGACAGTTTATTGGGGTTATTGTTTTTGTGTCACTAGCATCTCACAAAGAGAGTGATTTTTGTCTTTGCTCTCTTGGTCCACACTCTCTCCTTTGCCATGAGGCAGAGATAAGTTGTCATCTTGAATTTACTGCTGTGTAGTCAAGGCACAGGGAAAAGAAATGACCTACCTGAAGTGTCATGGGGAGCGTATATGGCTCCTAAAAATTTAATGTAGTTCTGATCAGGTTCCTCTTTGCTCTCACTTTTCTCCAGCCAAATCCATGCTATGCTGAGTTGCTGTCTTATTAGAGTCCACTCTAGAAAGTGTCTGTTCACCCAAATGGTTTAGAGGGGTTTTATTTCTTATTTTTCCTGGAGCTGGGAAGGTGAAGAATGCCAGCAGATACTCACTGGTATTGGCAAGATATCTCAGGATGTCTCTTCCCTCGTCCAAAGCCTGGGGCTTTTGGCCTAAATGAAATACTGCAAAGTGGGGGAGAGAGGCTGTTTGGGCAGACTGCTCCTTGTAAATATCGGGTGCTTCACAAAAATAATTCCTAAGCAAAACAAGTTGTGCTGATGGCATCCAGCCTGATGCACAGAGCTGTGTGGTGGAGTGGATGGGCTCATCCTCTCAGTCCAACCCTGACATCTAGTGTACACCAAAGGGAAATTTTCCAAGTGTGAAGTTCAAAAATGAAATCTGTGTTATTTGGGGGAGGTCTGGCTTTGCAATGCACTCGACCTTTTTCTGCATTGATGATTTCTGAGATAACCACTTGCTGCCAGCATAGAAATAAGTCTGATTAATTTGTCCCTCTTGGAAAGTCTTATGATCTCAGACTTATGATGCCATTTAGACTTGTTATGAATTACTCATTGCAACTATCAATACTTGCAAATTTAGTCTTTTTTCTGTTTAGTCCATTTGTGAACGGAGTCTTTGCTCTAATCACTGGATCGCTTTGCTATGGCAAGAAAGTTTGGTGCTCTGTTTTTTGAGAGGGAGTTGTTTGATTATTTTTTTAGAAAAGGATTAAAGTCTGAATTAAAAATCTAAATGTTAAAATCCACGGTGAGTGAGGCATAGAGAGACTCTTGAGTATTCATTCCTTATATTTTGTGTATTTCTATGTCTACACAAACAGGGGTTGGAAAGGCAGATTGGCTCCAACATCCTCAAGGACAATTGCAGCAGCCGGAGCAGAGATGGAGGAGGAAGGGGAGAAGGAGGGAGGAGGAGTTGTGGCTGAGGAGCTTAAATGGGCCTTTCCAATTCTTTAGGTCATGAGGTAGACAGTTGGGTTCATAAAGCAAATTTGGTTCTGCACTGGCCATGTCCCCACCTCTTTTCTCCTTCTTGTCTGTTGTTCCGTTGTTCACTTCTGTTGCTCAGGTATCTGGCCAGCATGAATCCTTCTGGCGGATCCCTCACTATCCTTTTGCATGTACTCCTGCCTTTACCCCAAACTTGTCTCCTGATCTTTCACAGACCTGCTAAGCGTCACCGAGCAGCTCCCTTGGTATGGATCTTGGGCTATAGTCACAGAATCACTGAGGCTGGATGGCACCTCTGGCGTTGGCCAGTCCAAATAGGGTCCACTGGAGCAGGTTATTCAGGGCTGTGTCCAGTTTGGTTTTGAAAATCTCCAAGGATGGAGATTCCACAACCTCTCTGGGCTATCTGTGCCAGTGCTCAGCAGTAAAAACATGTTTTCTTACTTGTAAGTGGCATTTCATGTATTTCAGTTTGTGCCTACTGCCTCTTGTCCTGTCAGTGGGAAGAGCCTGGCTCCCTCTTCTTTAGTCCCTCCCATCAGACATTTATATACATTGATAAGATCCCTTTAAGCTTTCTCTTCTCCAGGCTAAACAGAATACAGAAAAACAAACCTGGGGTAGGTATAACTTTGTCTCAGACCCTAAGACTACCTGGGGGCCTAAAACCAACTTTGAAAGTTGGAAAAGACTTGACAGCTTGGAAAAATCCAAAGCTCATGGCAATGTGTCTCACGTTTATAAATACACAGCTTGCATTTTACAGCTCATCACACCTATAAGAATAAGCACAAATGGTCCATCAAAAGCGGTTATTTCTGGAATGTGCTTTCTAATGTTGCTGCTGCTTGTCCATCTGTCCAGTCCGTGTCTTTTCAGGATGCTTCAGGATTTCGGGTATAAGGATGGATTAAGCTTCCCTTCACGGCTCCTGGGTCCAACAGACTGACATGTGTTCCTCCTGCAGGACCAGGAGCCAGTATCATGAAGTAGAAACTGGCTTTTAATGTTCACTCTTTCTATTTGTAGAACTACATTTCCATAATGCTGGTATTTCTGTTTGCACCATCTCACTTTAAGAGGCCCATGGCTTTTTTGGGGATGTAAGGAAGAGACTAATATGAGTTTATGAACTTATCTAAATACAAGTGAGAAGCCAAAACTTCTAATGTGCTTCAGTGACGTGCACTTTCGATTTTCGCCTGTAGATGCAATTGCTGGGCAGTCTCTCTGCATACAAGAATATTGTAAGGTCATGCGTACAAAATGTAATCTCAAAAGGTAGGAATGGCATAGGACGTGCAGGAAGATAATCTGTTATGATATCTAAACACATCTATTAATATAAATGGTCAAAGCATTATACAATTATCAATTTATTAACCAGTAAGACAAAATTTCAACCAGACAAAATTTCAGTGTAAGTGTTGCTAAACTCATTGCATGCAAACGCTACTTTATCTGTGAATATAGGGTGAGTTAGTGATAGCATCATGAACGTTGCTTTGTATTTGTTTCTGCTGCGGTTTAGCTGGGCAAATCACTTAACCTATCGACCTCATGTTTAGCACTACAAAAATGCTCATTACATCCCCATCAGATGGGTGGTGGGATTTCTGCAATCTTTAGTTGAAAGTTGCTAAAGCGCAAGGCCATTAAATCCCTTTGTCCCAATTCTATTGTAAATGGAGACCTGTCCCTTAGTTTCTAGGTAGAGGTTAATTGAGAATTCGCTCCAAAAATATTAGCCGTTAATAACCTCCTAACTGCAGTCAGTCTTTTATTCACTGACTGAGGCACTTCATTCCCTCCGAGGCCTCGGACTGGTTGTTCTACCCAGTGCAGACTTCTGGGGTGAGATGCAGTTCCAGCTGAATATCTGAATGCAAGCCAGCTACTAAGGCCCTGAAGCAGCGAATGCCCATGTGCAGACAATGATGTAAGTGACTTCAGTCTGAAGCATCCTGGTCCTAACAGTGCTACAGAAAGGCTTAGCCTGTTCCTGCGCTTTCCGTTTCCTTCCGTTTTTGCTGTAATGGCCATGGGGGACCTTTGGGGACACTGGGTACAAAAGCGTTTCTGCCCCAGAACACACCAACTCCAGCCATTTGCCTAGGAGAGCAATTTGTGCAGTTTTAGCACTATCTGGTCCTAAAGGGTGAGTTCAGAGCCTGAAGAACAATAAATAAACCTGGTAAACCACATTCACGCCATCGTACAGTCCACACACAATTCTGCAACACCTAAAGGCTTTGTTTTAGGGGAAGGGGCAGCGTTTATCTGATTTGAGAAAAATCCTACCTTATTCCCACATAAAGTAACATTTAACACTTCCACTGAGTGCAATGAGGCAGGTGAAAGCTTTGAGAAATGATTCATCGCACTGCTTCCCAGGAACATTGCAAAAACTCCTATTTACTTAATTGATCAAGTGAAAAATCACTTTTTAGTTGCTCACGTTGCTCCTGGGTGGAAAAACAGTAAATGCAGAATTACCAGGCTATAAATATGCAATTTTAAATGAACTGCAGCAAATGATGTATGTTGCGGCATTTTTATGGCTGGGCTTCAAGTTGATCTATACAGGGATGGTAAATGGGCTTCTGTGCTGTCAGAGACGTCACTGGGACCGTAACTCCTCTTTGGCGGAGAACATATAGTGCTAGGCTTAAAGGGTGCGCTTTTTTTTTTCATGTTAAACTGTGTCAGCATTCCCCAGGCTTGGAAACAAATCCTCTTCAGAGCAGCGAAGTCAGTCACATCCTGTTTGTGCTCCTGCCTTGTGTTGTTAAGGGCCTTCATGTCTAAACATGTACATTTTCACACCTAATCCATTGCTGATGTTCATTTGAATCTTGTCAGGACTCCATGCTCTCACTCTTGCTGTATTGTGCACTGAAAATATTCACCAACTTCACTGGTAAAGCTGGACTCAAATCGCACGTATTTCTTGTCACGTACTTGCTGTGACATACTTTACTGTCTACCTTACATGAATGTTGTACATGAACTATTGATTGATTATATTTTAAATATTATCTCGTCTCACTGATAGATTAACAGGATGAAAAAAGGTACACCTCCTAGGTATCAGGCATCCCATTAATAATATAGTTGGGCTCTTGTATACTTTAATACACGATTATTTATTATAAGCTTATTGATTACATCTTGAAGCTGAATATCTGCGAATGGACTGCGTTCTCATGAAAGATGCTGGGTCAGTCACTGTGGCAAATGAAGTCCAAACTAGTGTGCTCCTCAGCTGTCTGCCTAAGGGTGTTAAAAAGATAACTGAATTCAGTCTGCCAGGCTAGATAATCTTTAACTGCTGGCAGTGCTGCTCAATCTAGCGCACAGAGCTATTAAGGTAAGCACAAAACTACCCAGTTCTACCTATTTTGTATAATATTCTACAAGTACCCGTCTCTGTTTGTACAAATGCTTAAGGCTGTAGCTGGCTGTGAAAACAATATTTGATCGAATCAATGAGGTAAACTATTAAAAAAAAAGCGTGGTGCTGTTCCACCTTGCGGTATGTGTATGCCATTGAGTAACGCTATCCCTTTTACTCAGTTTTTACTCTCCTGCTGTGATTTTTAATCTTTACAGCCCCTCCTAACTGACCACCCAGGACTCAGTTTAAACAGCAGATGTCAAAAGAAAAAATATGGAGTAAAAGAATCAACTGTCCAACTAGTTTATCTGTCACCAACCCAGGAATAAAACCTTTGAAAGAAAAAAAAAAATCAATAGTCTCCCCTGATGTAACAGGCAGGTGCTGCACTTCCCAAAAGTTTCTCTTCTGAGAGCTCTGCCCTCTGTCCTGTTTGATGTGTCAGTGTTGACAGCCCTTAGCTGTCAGTTTTTGTACTACAGTCAATCTACCTTTTTCTCCTCACAAATACAAGCCATGAGCAGATACAGGCAGAGGAAGTGCTTGCTTTGCATTTCAGGGACTCTAGAGTTGATTCCTGCCCTCCCACTCTCTCTCTCTATCCCATCAGCTCTGCATGTGGGAATTTGCACTGCGGTCAAAGTTATTCCAGCAGAGGAAAGCTGGACAAATGAGGTGAAATATCAGGAGAAAAATGCAATTTGAATCATTAGTTGACATTTTACGGCCCTGTGCTACCAACCGCTCTGGTATCTAGTGCCAGGTACAGTGGATTGATGGTGTCCTTTGTATTAACCCTTATCACCACGCTGCACAAAGCCAGGTCTGATCTGAGGTGGATTCCTCATTGACAAAAATCCTGGGAAGCTGCTTTCTCTTTTTCCAAGAGAATCCTTCCAACCCCACGTGTAAGTGAGATTTCTGTCATCATCTCCTATGATGCTTGCTGGGATCTAATGAGATGCAGAGAAGCACTTGAAGATAATTTAAAATCAAGTGCATTCTTGATAAAATTATTATTTATAAAAATGAAAGGACTGTTTTTTCTATGTGCTGCCACTTCGAATGACCCAGAATTATTTACACTGCATTATTGGAAATATCACTGTAATCTTAACTGGGGATTGTGTCTCCATCCTTTTCTTCATCTTCCATAATCACTGTTTGCTTTTCTTCTGTAAGCAGCTTAGTCCCTTAAAAACAGAAGGATACAAAAAAAAAAAAAAAAAAAAAAAAAAAAGAGAGAGAGGGAGAAAGAGAAAAGGAGTTGATTTAAAATATTACTTCTTTAGAAGATATCAGGGTAAGAAGAATCTTTCAGTCCTCTCTGATTTCTTGATCCTAACATCATTTTCCAACATCATGAGAGTTACTCATTTATTTTTGGCACATCAGTCTCCTGATATTTAGTGAACTAGAATTGGATCATTGCATTTTTAGCTAAATTTATCAGGCACTCTTAAATCCAGCCTATTTCTGCTACCTCTGAAAAGAGACATTGAAGTTTCGTCTGGGAACCTGTTTGGTAAAAGAGTTTGGGAAACTACAAAAGG